GGATCGTAACTGCAGGTCCTGTCAATCTGGCTGGCAGGGCAGAGGCAACAGGGGTACCAAGAGGAGGCTTCTCCCGGACCTCAAGACAGAATTCACCAGGCAAAGGGGAAGTGATAGTTAAAACAGCCATTGCCGTGTCCCCGAAGATCCTACGCGCAGAGCACTAAATTGTCACTTGTTTTTCTCTCATGGAATCCTAACACCCATGCTGCAAGACAAATATTGGCTGTTTTAGAGATGAGGCTCAGAGAGGCTAAGTAAATTTCTGGAAGCCACACAGCTCCACTGAGCCTTTGGTCTTTTGGATTCCGAGCTCACCTTACTCTGCTACCTGTATCTGCCATCACAGGGTGGAAAGCAACCTGGGAAATGACGATCTCTTATGTTGTCACAAGAAATGTGGGAGAGACTCACGCCCTGGAGATCACAGCAATGGTATCACGGAGAAAGAAGAGGGGAACCGTGAGAGGTAATTCGTAATTGATCCTACCGTGAGGCTCACATGCCACCCTGTTTCCCCCAACAGGAGTTCTGTGCAAACACAAATCAAAGCATCCAACTGCGCTTCGGGGGATGGAGAGATGGGGCCCTACACAGCCCCCGGAAATGAACAGAAGGAACCCAGAAAACCCTGAGCAGGCCCATGTAAATGCTGAGGTTGAAACGCGGCCAGACTCGCTGAGCAACTGGGGCTATAAGCTAAGGAGCACGCACAGGACGGGTCTGGGGCTGCAGGGGATTGCCACTAACCTCAGCAGGAAGGCAGGGCCTGCCCCGCCTGGAACCAGCTGGCAGCTGCCTGGGGGCCCCTGGACCTGGAATCCTTGGCCTCTAAGCCAGCCTCCTGCAGGACGCTGCCCCACTCCCCTCACCCCCTCCTCAGCCACCTCCCAACGCTGCACTCCGTCACCTCCATTTTAGAGTTGGGGAAACTGAGGCTTGAGGGGCAAATCCTGGCCACTGAGACAGCAGGGGGAAGTCGCTGGGGGTTCTAGAAAAGACTGTCCTTAGCCAGGCGCGATGGCGCACACCTGTAATCCCAGCGGCTGGGGAGGCTGAGGCAGGAGGATCGCGAGTTCAAAGCCAGCCTCAGCAAAAGTGAGGTGCTAAGCAACTCAGTGAGACCCTGTCTCTAAATAAAACACAAAATAAGGCTGGGGATGTAGCTCAGTGGTCAGTGTCCCTGAGTTCAATCCTGGATACATGTCATTTCTCTATGACAGAGAAAAATGGGTCCCACTTTTTTGCTTCCTTGTTTGGAAAACCGTGGCATGAGACATGGTGCATGGAGCCTTTGCTGCCCTTCTGTGACTTGGAGGAATATCGTGGAAGACCCACACGGGATGGTGGAGAGTGAAGTCAAAGAGTCCAAAGTCCCAAGGGAGACCAGTGAGGAGGCTGCCACGAACAAGATGCCCATGTAGTAGAACACAGCAAAAAGACGTAATAAGATGCAACCCCACGTGACCAGGGAGCGGTGGTCATGCTTGACTATCACCCTTCCTCTCCTTGCCCAGCCAGCAGCCCTGAGGCCGCAGAAAGAGGGTGCCCCCCCATTCTAGCTCAGCTATGAGTTACTGATGAGAAAGAAAAGTGCAGTAGCCCCTCTTTCTTTAACAAATAATAATTGCTTAGCAATTGTAAGTAAGATCTGAAATAGGGAATTTCTCTGGGCATGGCAGTGCACACCTGTAATCCCAGCGGCTACGGAGGCTGAGGCAGGAGGATCACCAGTTCGAGGCCAGCCTTAGCAACTTAGCGAGGTCCTAAGCAACTTAGCTAGACCCTGTCTCAAAAGAAAAAATCAAAAGGGCTGGGGTATGGCTCAGTGGTTAAGCACCCCGAGGTTCCATCCCCAGTACCAAAAAAAAAAATATCTAAAAGAATGGAAATGAAAAGTTGTAATTAACTGTAATGAACAAGGTTCCTGCTGGCCAGCTTTGCAGGCGCAGGGATGGCTCATGACACACACGTACACTCTGACGAGTCGTCTGTCCTGTGTCCTTACCCTAAGGGAAGAAGTCCCTGAAAGGCCGCAACACCCACACTGAAGACCCCTGTGCTGCAGGGACATCACTCAGATCACCGCTAAGACCTGAGACAGCAACTGTGATAGTTCACGGTGGCTTGAAAATGTTCCCGTCCAGCTCAGAGATTCAGGAGTCAGCTTGCCCCCTTTCAGACATGCCCCCCGTAGCAGACATGACTACATTGCAAAAGTATAAGAACTTCGACATGAACCTGAGGCATTAGGAGAGCCAGCCCACCATCCCACTTATTCTGAGGGCTTTCAGTAAAGGGAAACCTGACAGTTCATCTCCTAAACCCAAATGCCACACGATGGTGTGTGTGTAGACACACACGTGTACCTGGGTGTTCTTTTTGGTCTCCACCCTGGTAACTGGCTTGGGGAGCATCCAGCACATTAATAATGGGATGGCAGCTAAAGGCCCATATGGCTGAACTCTAGATACACAGCCCTCTTGCTGTGCTGGGGATGGAACCCAGGACCTTGCACATGCTGGGTGAGCACCCCACCCCTGAGCCACATCCCCAGCTCTCTTTCCTTTTTTTGAGATGGAGTCTTGCTTAATTGTGCAGGCTTCCACTGAACTTGGGATCCTCCTGCCTCAGCCCCACGGGGCCTCTGGTATTACAGGGGTGCACCACAGCGCCCAGCAGACATACCCAACTCGTCTCTGTCTCGACTCCGGAGACAGTATTCCTTTGTTAAAGTCAAATTCTAGATCTTGGAAAGACTTAGTAGCAAGCTGGGCAGGAGTCAGAACCCTGTAAGGGACGTGTGGCCTCCCTGCCCAGTGTCTATCCTCCCGGGCCAGCAGCTGGCTTTCCCACTGGGAGAGCAGGACAGCCACTCCTCCCATGGAGCCTGGCCAGAGCCTTCCCCATCAGGGTCGGAGAAATCAGACTCCGAAGACCTCCCTCCTCAGAAGCTGCTCACAGGATCAAGAGACTCTGACCGGCTAATCGGAAGCTCCCTGCTCCTGGGGACTAAGGGGGTCTCCAGGCTGAAAAGGATGGGGGTCAACATCTTTTTCTTCATTATGGATCCACTGGTCCTGCCTCCAGCACAGTGTTTAAAAGCAGCCCTCTTGCTTAAAATTTAAAATGGACATCTCCCTCTCCATCTCTAGCCATTCCTCTTGCAGAACGAGCTGCAGAAAAACATTGCATCTAAGGACCCCAAGTTAAGAATTCTACTATTGCAGCTGGGTGTGATGGCGCGTGCCTGTAATCCCAACAATTTGGGAGGCTGAAGCAGGAGGATGGAAGGTTTGAAGCCAGCCTCACAACTTTGCCAGGCCTGAAGCAACTTACCAAGACCCTGTCTTAAAATATAAAAAGGGCTAGGGATGTGGCTCAGTGGTTAAGTGCCCCTGGATTCAACCCGGGTACCAAAAAATAAAACAAACAACGACCCTACTATTAGCCAGCAGAGTGGTGCGTGCCTATAATCCCAGTGACTCAGGAGGCTAGAGGATGAGGATCACAAGTAAGAGGCTAGCCTGGACAACTTAGTGAGAATAAGAGATCCTGTCTCAAAATAAAAAGAGCTGGGATGTAGCTCAGTGGTAGAGCAGCCCTGGGTTCAATCTCTGGTACCAGGAGAGGGGGGGAAAAAACTCTGCTATATTTATAAAGGATGAAACAGAAAATCACTATCTGGCAAACACCATAGTAATCATCGTTGCAAGCCAATTTCTTACAAAAACACCCCTGTACCCTCTAGACAGAGGCCCTCTGGTTCTGTTTCTCTGAATAACTGCCTAAAACGGACCCCGTGTAAAAATGCCCTGTTAGCGGGGACACCAGCTCAAAGGTGCAGAGATTTGGAGAGAGGTCCCAGGCAGAGATGGGGAAGGGCCCTCAGGTAGAGGCTCCAGGCTGGACAGGTTGAGGGGAGAAAGGTCAGGGGCAGCCAGTGCAGAAGGTGGAAGTGGAGCTGGAGGGACAGAGGATGGGGGAGGAAGGTGAGGTAGCTGCTCCGAGGCCCTGGTGGTGAAGTCTCTCTGCAGATGCTGAGGGCTGCAGAGTGCAGTGACTCAGTACTGGGCTTTGGGACAGAACTGGTGGGACAGTGGGAGGTGAGAACGAGAGGGTCAGGGCTTGAAGGCTTCCAGGGAGGGGATAGGGCTGTGGGGGCAGGGCTGTGAGGGTAGGGCTGTGAAGGTGGGGCTGGTGGGGGGCGGGGCTTGAGGGGTTGTGAGGGTGGGGCAGGGTGGGGGGGACTGAGGGGCGTGGCTATGGGAGGGGGGCTGTGAGGTGGGGCTGTGAATGGTGGGGCTGGTGAGGGGCGGGGCTTGAGGGGCGTGAGTGCTGAGGCTGAGGGCGGGGCTGAGAAGGTGGGACTGAGGGGCGTGGCTATGAGAGGTGGGCTGTGAGGGCGGAGCTGTGAGGGGTGGGGCTTGAGGGGCTATAAGGGGCGGGGCTTGAGGGGTTATGAGGGGCGGGGCTTGAGGGGCAGTGAATGGTGAGGCTGAGGGCGGGGCTATGGGTGGGCTGTGAGGTGGGGCTGTAAGGGCAGGGTAGTGAGGGCGGGGCTTGAGGGGCTGTGAGTGCTGAGGCTGAGGGTGGGGCTGTGAGAGGCAGAGCTTGGCGGGGCCAGAGGGCGGGGCTAAAGTCTGGCATATCCCTATATCCTAGTCGGGAGCCCAACGCTAACTGGTTCCCTCTTCACCCCACCTGGCTCTTCCTTGTTCCCTTGATCCCTGTCTACACTCATCTGTGGAGGTCTCTGCCAGTCAGACACCCACTGAGTTGTGAGGGCCTGTCTCGGTGTTCCATTCACCTTTTGTGCGCGCGCACACACACACTCATACTCACACACACCCTGCACACAGAAGGTGCGCCATAAACAGGTTAAACTCTCATCTCTAGGATTAATCCAGCCTCCCACAGAGCCTCCCCCAGAGCCGTGCTGGGGCTGGATTCATTCTTAAGGACCGAAAGGGCGGAGCAGTCCAGTCCAGGGCCTTTACCTCACGAGGTTGGCGCAGGGCCCAGGCCACCGGCAGCTCTGGTACACACGCTGGACCACTGTCTCCGAGCCATTCTGCACCTGGCAGGACACCGTCCGGGTCACCGTGTGATGACACCAGTGCCTGTGGAGAGAGCAGAAGTCGCGTCAGCCCTACCTGTTCCTGGGGCACTGCCACAGTTCAAAGGTTGTGCTGGAGGAAGAGGGTCCCCTCACGAACTTGGAGCACCCACTTTTCTCGGATCAGGGGCCCACGGAGACTCTCTGCCCAAGTCTGGGGGGGAAGGGACAGTACCCACGCCATTTGGCCTCTGAGCACTGGCATCATTTTAGCCACTGAAGACACTGTGAAAAAGACTCAGCCACCGCCCTGACATCTGGGGCAGGGGAGGACAGGTGACAAGGGGAACGGAGCCACCAGAATCCAGCTACAGGTCCATCCAGGGAGCTGTGGGAGCAGAGCAGGGGTGGTCCCAGGAAGGGCCACCAGCTGAGCACTGAAAGATGAGTTAGCTGCTTGGGAGCCATAAGGGAGCTGACTTTAGCAGAAGAAGGAGGGGATGGGTGGGGACACCATATGAGAAACCAAGGCGTGTCCAGGGGCCTGTGTGCAACTGGAAGTGGCCGGAAGGCTGAAGGGAAGGACAGGCCAGGGAAAGGGAGAAGCTCCAGGCTAATATGGCTCTTCTCAGGAAGTCAGTGGGGAGCCACTGAAGGTTCTAAGCAGGGAAGGACTGCTGCAGTATGGGCAGCAGAGGTGCAGGGAGAGGGCACAGATGCACACCCTATGGGCACTGAATCAAGATGGCCAGCAGGCCCACCCCTCCCACCATCACCAGATCCTGGAAACTTAACAGTAGAAAATATACCCAGAATAACGTTGGAAAACAAGAAGCCCTAGACCAGAATACCTGAGGAGTACTTTAGAGATAGAAAGCAAGTGGAAGTAATTTGGAGCAGAGCCAGGAACACGCAGGAAAGAGGCCTGGGGCTCAAGTGGGAGCAACTTAGGAGCAGCAGATAAGGGCAACACCCTAGGGTGGCTGCAGGATGGATTGGTTAGGGGAGACAGCCAGTTAGGGAGGACTCAGGTAACCCCCCTGCTGCTATCAAGATTCAGGCATTGGATTCACCTGTCCACTGGCAGGTGTGGTCAGAACAGGTGCCTCACAAGCTGGTGACCTCCAGGGACACGTTTAAGGTCAGACCACTGAATTCTTGCATATTCTTTCCCCATTCTTCTTTGGCAAAAGCCAAAGTCTCAGTAAACAGAGACAAACCCATGGAAATTATCTGATACAAAAATTTTAAAAGTCTAACACCGTGAGAGAAAGGCACCAACTCAACAGGCAATAAAATCACACCTCTAGAAAAAAAAAGAATTAATAAAAAATATATGGAGACAAATTTTACAAGCATAATTAATGTCCTCCAAGAGATGAGAGCATGCCACTCATAAAAATTGTGGAATAAAATAAATTTGATCTCTTAGAAATGGAATGTATGACCATGAGAATAAAACCTCCATGGATGGATGGAAGAATAGAATGGAGGGAAGGAAGGAGGTCCTGAGGAGCTTCAAGTCTGAGCTGTGAACTTTCCCAGGAGGCCCTGCAAAGGCACAAAGGGACAGACAATGTAAGGGGAAAGGGGAGGGATCTAGGGATCTAAAGTCAGGCAAGTGCCAACACCTACTGATTAGTAGCCCCACAAGAGCAGAGCAGTGACAAAGAGAAGCAGACACATGAAAAAGTAGCAAAGGAAATGTCCCAGAGCTGAAGAAAGGCACCAGTTCCTAATTCAAAAGGGCCCACTGAGTGGTATGTGCTGAAATTTCAGAACAATCAGGATGAAGAGAAAATGCCAAATGCCACAGAAAGCCAAGAAAAAACAAACTACTTACAGTAAATTTCAATAAGATTTTAAAATCAGCAACATCAGAATCAAGAATATGGTGACAAAATTTTCTCAAAGTCCTAAGGGGAAATATTTAGGATCCATAATTTTATACCCAGCCAAACTACTCGCAGGGCCAAAGGCCAAATAAAGATTTCAGATGTGTAAAGACTTAGAAAGTTTTACCAGTTACCCCTTATGAAAGAATCACTAGAGGAGGTATCCTAACAAAAATAAGTAAATAAATAAAGGACATAGAAAAAAACATATTAAAAGAGTAGTTGCGGGCAAAGAAACAATAATGAGATTTAGTAATAGCCTTGCACTAAAACAAAAGTGATTTCAACATGGAAGATGGCAAAGAGGAGAAGTTATAAAGGAATTAAAATTGCAAATATTTTTTTCATGTTGAAGGAGAGGATATAGAAGTTGTGCCACTTTAAGTGTAATAAAAAAATATATACAATTAAATATGTTTTGAATTTAAAGATAAATACTAGGAAGCAGAGAATTAAAATGTAAAAATGCAAGCCATCCCGCATGAAAAGGAAAATAAGGAGTAAAACAAAAGCTGATCAATCCACAAAATGCTAGGAAATAAAAAGTAAGAAGCAAGAAATAACATACTAATTAGAAGACAGACAGGAAAATGAGAGAAGAAATGAATTAATAAAAAGAAAGCAAAAATTGGGGCTGGGGTTGTGATTCAGTGGTAGAGCGGTTTGTTCCCCAGCACCACATAAAAATGAATAAATAAGGGTATTGTGTCCATCTACAACTAAAAAAAAATTTTTTAAAAGGAAGCAAAAATTAATTAAATAGATCATATTAAAAATAAATCAACAGAATCCAAACACAGACCTTTTGCAAAAAAAAAAAAAAAAAATCTTATCAACAAAGCTTAGACAATTCTTAAGGAGAAAAAAAAGTCATAAACATAAATAACAAATTTATAGATATTAAAAATTATAAATAAATATTAGGTATGATCTTTCATCAAAATTTGTCAAAAATCTTGGACAATTTTCTAAGATATCCTCCCAATACTGGCAAAGTGAAAAAATGTCCCAAAAGAAAAAGGAAAAGTAGTCCAAAGTCCACCCTCCCCCACCAAAGTCACCAGGAGACCAAGTTCAGAACCCAGTTTTGCTACCAGCTTGCTGGGGCAACGGGATGAGTCCTTTTCTGAACTTCAGTCTTACACACCGCACATGCACCTCTCAATGTTGCAGCCAGGACTAATTGAACACATCCAGGTCAGCGGAAACCACCACGCAGGGTGATGTGACTGCAAGGATCATAACTGACTGGCTGGCCACTAAACCCCACAATGTCAGTAATAATCGAGGGATTGTCCTTTCCTATTTTGCAGATGGGAATAGAAAGTCTGTGTGGTTATCCATCAGCAGGGCTGCAGCTCAAACCCAGGCTGCCCTGAGAAAGAAATTCAGCCCTCCCGCCCAGGGTCCCACCTACCCAATACAAACCATCAATCTTGCCTCTTCCTGTAGCCCAGAGTGACATCCTGAAACTGTGTGGCCCTTCCTTCCTCTCGGGCTCTGTATGGGCACTTACCTGTGTTTCAGAGACAGAGGTGCAATTCTCTTTGGGATAAGCTACCATCCCATCCAAGGATAAGCGCTCCACCCTGATATCCACATCCCAGCCCTGGGTTTTTGGAATAGACAGAGAGTCCCGCCATCTCTGAATTGTACTGGGTCAGAGCTTTCTATGGGGAAATGAGCTGTGAATTGGAAAACCTTCTCCAAAGCCTCCAATCACCATCTCTAGACATCTGATCTCTCTCTTTTTTTTTAATATTTATTTTTTAAGTGTAGATGGACACAACACAATACCTTTTTTTTTTTTTTTAATGTGGTGCTGAGGATAAAACCCGGGCCCCACCCATGCTAGGCAAGGGCTCTATAGATGAGCCACAATCCCATCCCGACATCTGATCTCTTAATGGGCTATAAATGGCTTCTGGTAATCCAGACCTGGCCAAACAATGAAGACTGTAAAGAGAGGCATGGAGATAGGGTTCTGGGCTTGTCCCGATGGAACTCGAAACCCACTTCATCTCAGGATCCCGTGGTCATGGGACCAATATGGCCTACTTCCTAGGGTCCCTATGTCCTGTGTCTTCTGTTTGCTGAGTGGCATCATGTCACCGCTCACCGCACGCCTGGACCCTGACCTTGGTGATAGGCAAACAGGAGTCATTGGGCTACAGCCTAAATGCAGGTGGAAAGGGGTTCAGCGGGAGGGGTACAGCCCTTTTCCGACCCCCCCCCAGCCCAGGCACACAGAATTTGGGGGTGTCAGGCATGGTCCTCAAACATGGGCAAATTCTTGGCAGGCTCATCAGGATAGGAAGGGACTGGCATTTTCTCTGGGTCTCATCTGAGCGATGTTTCTCTGTCAATTCCCCCTGTTCCACAGCCCAGCTCTCATGGAGGGTCCAGGACCCAGGGACCTCCACCCTTGGGGCTCAGGCTAAGACCTCCCTAAGCCTGTGCTTCCCTCTGAGCTTCTCTTTGGGGTCTGATCTCATGTGCCCCCTTCCACCCAGGGACCCTGAGCCCTGAGTCTGAGCCCACCGGCCCCTGTTTCCTCAGTCCAAGCTCTACCCCCACGGTGGATCACCTCAGTGTTTCCCCTTGAACCCCAATGTGTGTGCCTACTCGCCTGGACAGTGGTCATGCATCATCAGAGCCCTTAGGACATACCAGGACACACAATTGCTGTTGGTGCTCTACTGAACTCATCATATTCAGCCCCAGCCGGCTTCTCCAGCATACTAATTCCCCATGCCCTTAGAGAAACCCCCAGGAGCAAGGAAACACCCCAGGCTCCACCTTCTCTCTCCTAGTCATGCCCCCATGCTGGGCAAATCGACTCCTGACCTTCTGAGTCCCTTTCTTTCCTGGACAACCAGCCTCAGCCCTCCTGGTCTCCCACCTCTTGGTGTCTCTCCCTGCAAGTTCCTCTACCTGCCACCAGGGAGCGCCATGCAGAGCTCAAACCTGGCCCCACCCTGGGCTCCCTCACCTCTCCACTCTCCACATCCACAAGGGAAATGCCTGCTCCGGCCCACTTCCAGCCTGCTCCGTCTGGCCATTTCCATTGTCCCCTTGTACCCTGGAAGGTCTTTCACTTTCTTCTGTTTGGTCAAGTCTCACTCATCCTACCAGTCTCCACCCAGGCTCCTTCCCCTCCTGGATACCT